TTGCAATTGACGTTCTCAATACCGCCGTTGTTGATGTTCTTGGTACTATGGATATTGGCCATGTTGCCCTTACCAGGCCGGACTCAGACATGGATGACACTCTTCCTTTGTCTGCGCGGCTCGTGAAAATGAGCACTCCTCCTATAGTAGTTATAGATGATGATGAGGAACCTCCGATCATTTTTGTGACCTTGTCCCGCGTATGCGTCATTACCGGCCTATTGTGACTGAGGATGTCTTTCCATCTATCAGATATTTCCTTCATCACTCAGTTGTAGGGAAGGAACGTCATCTTGGCGACGAGGTTATCAGGGCTCACTACTCTAATGTTGAGATTATTGAGAACCATGGCTCTGGTGTTGAGATTGTTGAAGGGACTGGTGCCGTAGGGACTGATGCTGCGGGACATGCTTCTGGAGGCAGTGTAGAGCTGAGGTGTGCTTCCGACAGACATGCTGCTGGAGGCTATGCAGAGATAAGGTGTGCTTCTGGTTGTGCTGAGGGACACACTTCCAAAGGCGGTGTTGAAATGAGGTACACCTCTGGGAGTAACGTGGAGGTGGATGTGTTAGAAGTCTCTAAGACTCGTTCTGGCATTTATGGTGACTCTCATCCTCTGGCCTTCTTTCCTTCCTTGGGGATGATTGCTATTGTTCTGGCTTCATTAGACATCGAGATCGATCAAGTGCCTCCCTTACGGCCAAGTGACTTTGTTGATGCTAGGAGCCCTCTAGTTGCCCCAGCTTTGCGTAATGATTCTCCCTCAGGTAATCTTGCTTTCTGAAATTTGTCATGTACTTCTATCTGTGAGAACTTTTTTTTTTTGCTCAAATGGCTTTACTGCTCCCTACCCCTAATAGGATTTCCCTCTCTTTTCTTCAGTGTTTGCCGCTACAACGGTCTTGCCTTCACCTGCCTCAGACTCTTCTCCGATTCTCTTTGTAACTCCCCATGGCTCTTCTTCTCGAGGGGACACACCTGCCTTTGAGACGACTGCTAGAGGCTCTTCCTTGTAAATGCCTTCGAATGTTTTGAATCTAAATCTCAGTGATTTCCACTTTGATAGTGATGTTTTTGGCCTTTCCCCTCATCGGACCATATTCTCAAGCTCGGGACTTCTCCTGGAAGTTACCCCTCTAGGTGGTTCATCTAACCCGATAGAATTTGGAGAGGTTCCTGAAACTAATACATTCCTGACCTTAGTTCTCCCTCCAGCTTCTGGCAAAGTACCATTTCTCCACTATTGGGTAGCTTTTGAGTTTGCATCGGTTCTACAGCTTGTGTCTTTGAGTTACCCTGAGACCTTTGCTTCCTTTGCATGCCAATGTTCGCTTATTGAGACTGCTCTTCTCAATTCTTTTGCTACTATCCTGTATAGCTTGGATAGGCAACGGCTGTGTGACCTTAACGGGAAAGTAGTCGAGATAGCGTATCAGGGGATCTCTAACATAGAGCGTCATCAAGTGGATCTATCTTGGTTTCGAAAGCACCAGGATGTAGCCTCGAACACTAGTCGACAGGTAGAATTTTTGTTTGTACTCACCTCTTATTGGACCTCTATAGATGAGACAAAGGCAACTCTTCGTGAACTTGAGTCGGGCTATGCTCGGGCCTTGGAGGCTTTAGAGGCACACTCTACTACTTGTCCTCAGGATGTAGATGTGATGGGCAGCTTCATCAAGGGTGTTTTTAGAAAAAATTGAGTTTATTTATTTATTTATTACTTTCTTGCCCCTTTCGATAAAAATGTTTTATCTAGGACAAAGCAATGAAATGACAAAATCTTTGTTTTGTGGAGATTTTCGCGATGTTTTCTCATTCTACTTGATAAAAAATTTACCTCGAATGATACAATGGAAAGAACAATCACATGCACATGTTCATAAAAGCTGAAATATTCTCATTACTTCTTCAACCTTCTTGACAAAAGTATAAAATTTTCATCACACGTGATGGAATAGACATACATCATAAAGGAAATCAGCTTCTTCATAACATAAGGGAAATACAACTTTTAGATAAAGTACGAAAATAAAAACGAGATTTAACATAGATGAGTCTATTTATGGGTAGCAACGCTTGATGAACTTTGCATTGAACGAGCTTATTCGGAAGCCATCTTCAACCCTTATGAGCATGTAGTACCCGCTTGAGCTTGCTTGAACCTCCTTGTAGGGCCCTTCACATTTCGGAGAAAACTTAGGCAGGGGTTGTCCTTGCATGATTGGGTCTACGATCTTCCATACTAGATCACCCTCCTCAAACTTTCTTGGCACCATAGTCTAATTATAGGCTCAGGCGATGGACTCATGATACCTTTCCATGACTTTTGCGGCTCTGTCTTGTTTTTCCTCTAATGTCTCCAGTTTGGTGGTTTAAGGCTCAAGTATCATTCCCGAGGCAAGAGCCATCCGAGCAGCCTAATTTTATAGGTAACACTGTCTTGGACCCACACACAAGGGAGTAAGAAATTGCTTGAGTTGGCTTTCTCTTTGAGGTGCGATATGTCCATAGAGCTACTATCAATTGTTCAGATCAAGTCCCACCAAATTCATCCATCATCTTACTTGGAATCCATATCAAGGTCTTATTCGTGGTCTCCGCTTGCCCGTTCCCTTTTGGGTAATAGGGTGTGGATTTGTGATGCCTCACTTGGTAAGTCTCTAGGAGGCTCTTCATATGCTTGTATATGAAGGGTGTGTCGTTGTTCGAGAGGATGATTTCGATACTCCGAACCTGCAAATGATATTTTCCTTGATAAAGTTTACGACTGCGGGCCCAGTAACATTCTTCAAAGGGATTGCCTCGACCCATTTTGTGCTCAACTCCATAGCTGCAAGGATCCATTATACCCTTTGGATGATGAAGAGATAGGCCCTATAAGGTCAAAAGCCTAGGTATAAAATGGCCACGGCATTCGGATGCTATGTAGATCTATGGTTGGCACATGGATCAAGTTTTCGTGTTTCTGACAAATCTGACACATTTTCACGTGATGAGAGGCATCTAACTCCATGGTCGGCCAATAATACCCAAGGTGTATCAGTTGCTCGAACAACCGAGCCCCTCCTTGATGTTCAATTTCTCATGGGCTCTTTCGAGGACTAGTTCCAACTCCTCCTTGAAAAGACATCTCAGGGGAGTGCGCTCAATGCTTCTTCTGTAAAGCTTGTTCTGATCAAGAAAGTATCGCCTCGCTCTCCTCTTAAGATGTGTAATGTCCCTCAGGTTTTCAGGTAATGTTCCCTTCTTGAGATAGTCAATGTAGACTTGTCTCCAATCGAGGGTATCAATTTTGAAGCAACTCTCATCCTCTCAGATGTATGACTGACATTTGGGAAATTCTTTCTGTAGTTAGTTCGAGGCCTTCTCCATTTCGGGCCAATAATAGCCTTGTTTTTGGATCCTTCTGTATAGACTAATGTCCCTATCCCCGTAGGACTTTTCTTGAATCTGTTGTAGTCGGAAGCTTACTTCTTGTTGGCCAACACACCAGGCTAGGAATCTAGTATTTCCTTGGAAGTAAAGTTCACCTTGGATGATTAGGAATTAAGCAAGCTTAGCCATAGTCAATTTTCTGACTTTGTTTCTGAGTTGTTCGAGGACTTCTTCTCTCCAATCCTTCGGAAGGTCTTTGTTCTCGGGTATTACTGAAGGCTCTGTTCTCTTATTGATAGCAATTGTCACCTCCTCCTTTGGAATGTCAACTCTTGCCCCTATCGTTGCGAGGGCGTTTGAAAACTTGTTGTCAGAGCAAGGCACATGCTTTGTTTCGACCTTCTGAAATTGGTCAAAAAGCCTTTGGATCGTCGTACGGTATGTTGCCAAAACAAGCTCTTTCAAAATGGATTGTCCTGAAACTTGCTTCACTATCAGCTTCGAGTCCCTCTGAATCTGAATCTTTTTGATACTGTGCTTCTCAGCAGCTATCAAGCCTAAAATAACAGCCTCATACTCGGCTTCATTATTCGAACAATGGAAGTCCAGTTTATAAGACAAATATAACTTTTCTCCACTTTTGCTTGTAAGGACTATCCCGGTTCCACCTTTCCCTTTGGCTACTGCTCCGTTAAAGCTCAATGTCCAAAAGCTTTTCTCAGAGACCATAGCTGCATTCACTTCTCCTCTTAATTCTTCATTTACTGGCTTATAGTCACCACTTGGAAATTGGGCAAGGAGATCGGCTAAGGCTTGTCTTTTGATTGCCTTGGGAACTACACATGTGATCTCGAATTCACCCAATGCTAACAACCAGCTTGCCATATTTCCAGTTAGAGCAGGCTTGTTGAGGAGGTATCGAATTGGATCACTTCTGGTAATAATCTGAATCTGATGCGCTAAGAAGTAATACCTGAGCTTTTAGGTAGTAAATACCAAGACTAAACAATGTCTCTCTATCGGAGTATATCGGATTTCTGCTCTTTGAATCTTCCGGCTGATATAATACACCGAGCGCTCTACTTCATCTACATCTTGGACCAACAATGCCCCTATGGACTTCAGGGTTGAAGTTAGGTACAACATTAGAGGTAACCTGAGCTACGAGGCTATCATGTTCTGAGGCAAGGTCAAGGTCACCTTTATTCTCTCGAAGGCCTTTTGGTGCTCTTGGTTCCACTCGAACTTGGCATCTCCCTTTAACAAAGAGCTGAAGGGGGCAGAGATCTCTGCAAGTGTTGAAATAAACCTCTGAATATAAGACACCTTCCCAAGGAACTTCTTTAACTCCTTTTGAGAATGCGGGGGAGGCATTGTTCTGATTGATTTGACCTTGTCTTGATCTGCCTTAATACCATGTCTATGTACAAGAAACCCGAAAAACTTTCCAGCCGTCACTCCGAAAGCACATTTGATAGGATTCATCCTCATTTTGAATTTCTGGCACCTCTTGAATTCTTTCTCAAGGTCTCAGAGATAGTCCTCTTCTTTTTTAGACGTTACCACCAGATCATCAATATAATTTTCCACCTCATGATGGATCATGTCATGAAACAATGTAGTCATAGCCTTTTGGCATTCTTGAGTCCAAAAAGCATGACTGTATAGAAGAAATTTCCGAGAGGTGTTCTAAAAGCAGCCTTTTCTGCATCATCCTCGGCCATTTTAATATGATTATATCTGCTGAATCCATCCATGAATGAGAACATTTGGTGTCCTGAGGTGGAATCCACAAGAGTATCGATGTGAGGTAGAGGAAATTTATCATTCGAACAAGATTTGTTCAAATCTCGAAAGTCTACACATACTTTGATTTGATCATTTTTTTTCTTCACCGGCACTATGTTCGCCAACCACATGGAATACTGTATTGGTTGGATAAAACCTATATGTTGAAATTTTTCAATCTCCTCCTTAATTTTCTCTTTGAGATCTGAGTGATATTTTTGAGCAACTTGCTTGATTGGCTTGGGGTTTGGGAACACATCAAGATAATGGGAGACTAGGTCAGGATCTAGTCCTAGCATTTCCTTATATAACCAAGCAAACACATGCAAACACATCCAAGTATTGGCTTATCAACTGTAATAACTGCTCCCGCTTTTCTAGGCTAAGGCTCAAACTTATGAATATCACCTTTGGAGCATCTTGCCCATCACTCAGATCTACTTCAACAAGTTGTTCACGCTGAGGCTGAAGCTCGTTTTGCATGCATTCTGGAGCCACTTCAGGCTTTATTACTATGTCATCATCAGGAGGCTCATCTTTTGACTCAGAGTCAGCTGCTAAAAAAACTGACTTCCCACACCTTCACAAATAGTATCATTTTGTCTCATCAGATTTTCATCACCATCCGAAGAATAAGCGGACTTTCTGGTCGGGAAGTTGTCCGTTTACCTGATTCTTTCTTTAGCTTCTTGTCATCTTTGATATCCTCCCAACAAGGAATTTTGACCCCCTGAGGCTTAGAGGTGGTGAGATTTTCTTTGACAGACAATACGATGAAGTAGATGGCATCAGAATAATGAGCTTCATCGGTCTCGAAATGCTTTGTCACCATTTTCTTTCCCCATTTAGCCTTAACACACTGATTATAACTTGACGGTACAACCCCATATCTATGCATCCAGGTCCTCCTTAGAATGATGTGATAGTTTGTCTTGGGGTCGATAATATAGAACTTGGTGCCCAAGCGAATCTCTTTGATGGCTAAATCAATTGTTACGCATCCCATAGTAACTCTCCTTTCTCCACCAAAGCCAGTGATGACTATCGGCTGCTTCACAATGCTCTCTTCAGAGATTCGGGCCTTCTCTAGAGTAGCGCGGGTCATAATGTTGATAAAGGCTCCACTATCTAGAAAGGCCTTTTTGAACTCAACCTCGTTAATATAAACAGTCACATAAAGCGGGTGGTTATGAGAAAAGGGATACATCCAATCAGTCTCGAAGAAAGTAATGGCACTAGATTGCTCTTTTGCCTTCCTCGGAATGGATCCCTCAATCGACATGCATTCCTCATGGTATACCTCAGCTATATTGATGATAGCCTTGGTGATTTCTATTCTTGCCTCCCTGTAAAGTCCAAGTTGGTCGAAGAATTGCTTGAACTTTACACAGTCTTGTAGGGTTTTGGCGTAGTGATCCGGATCTTTCTCCACTCTTGGCGTAGTGATTTCTATTGATGATAGCCTCGTAGTTAACCATCTCCTCGGTCTCTTCAAAATAGGATGCCACATAAACATGGTGTCCTCCTCTTTCGTAGTATTCTTCTCTTCCTTTTAGATCGAAGGGACCTTCGACATGAGCCATAAAGGCTTTGCCCTCTGGATCGAGAGCACTTCCATAATAAACTTGTTCACCCTTAGGCTCAAAGGTGTCATCTAGATAACAGTCATTATCTAGATAACAATTGTCGTCATCGAGATTGGCGATATCCTCAATCATCAGGCCTTCATATGCTATCATAACAACATTCTTGCCATTGTCTCGGTGCTGAGGATATGGTTGTTCTCGGATGTCTTGAGTTCCCTATTTTTTGAACGTTAATTCGTCCGCCTCGACTTTATCTCTGAAAATTTTCCTGAGAGTCCAACACTTCTCTATCAGATGTTTCAATGTGCAATGATAGACGCAAAACTCGGGGCTCTTGCAGTCCTCCTTTGATAGGATTTCCTCGACATAAGGCAATTTTAGCTCTCCATCGGCCACCCATTCCTTAACTAGAACTTTTACCTCCTCGATTCCACATGGATAAGAAACACTGCCCTTTTTACCACTATATTGTTTCCTCTTCTGGCCTCTATGACCTCCTTCTTGTGACTTCCGGGTATCGGGGGTGGAAATAGCAGCAACGATAGGTCCATGAGACGATTTAAAGCTAGTTTTGTAACTGACTTTAAATCTGGACTCCTGAGCCTGAGGAATGCTAATGTTCCGAGCTGCTTCTATTAGTGTCGAGAAAGCAGGTACCTTGTGATTAACTATAAACAATTTGTATCTGTTCAATGCCCCCTCTAGATAGATTTGAACCAGATAACTCTTCTCTACAGCCTCATGGAAATCAACAGCCTTGTCCTGAAATCTTTTGACGTAGTCAAGGATGTCCTCACTTTTTTGTTGTTTCTCCTTACATAATGTAAGTGTGGTCACCTTCTTAGCCACTTGAAAGAACTTGGCATGCAATTTGTTGATCATCTCCTCCCAACTTTGGATAAAGTTTGGGGCCAAGTTAACATACCAGCTATATGCTCGGTCAGTGAGGGACTTAGAGAACTCTCTTAGCCGAAGGATATGGTTTGAACCATGAATACCCAGAGTCTCGATGAACTGCACAACATGTTCTCAAGAATTTCCTTGTTTTCCATTGAATTTGATGAACTTTGGCACCGTATACCCCTCGGGGTATGGATAACTCAGTATCTTAATAGGGTATGGTGGCTTGACATCTAGATCGGGCAAGAAGGGTAAAGCCCTCTTGCCCCGTTCGAGATCGAACATAGCGGCACATCAGCAAGGGTGAGAAATTGTTGAGGGAGAGAACTTGATGGTGGCATTCCCGGAACTTGGCTTACAGGCCCGAAAACTGAGCCAGAAGCAGCTTGGCCATTTTGGTGTTGAGAATTCACCATTGGTGAAGACATGTGATGATACTGGCCATCGGCACCTATGGACAAGCCATTTAGTGATAGGACATTGAATTGGGTTCCATAAAGTCCATTGCATGTCACAGCTATACCGGGTTGGGCTTGCAAATTTGTTGTCGGTGCTAAAGGAGGCCCGCATAGTATGTGAGTAGTGTTTACTGGTGATGGAACGAGATTAGGTACGAGAAGAGCTCCCTTTTGTGCCATCATGCCCTTTATATTTGTATAGACACCAATAGTCGCCGGTAAGCCATTCATTACGCCGGAACCTCCCCTAGTCACAATTGGATCTTGGCTTGGTGCACCATGGAGCTCGGGCATGGGTAAACTGCTGCCACCTACTATGGTCTAAGCATGTGTTGCTGCTGTTGTATTGCCATGAGCCACAGGCTGACTGTAGCCTACTTCTCCTTGGGTTTGATTATGCACTTCAGCGGGGATAACTCAACCTCTAGTTTGATTTCTATTTGGCACCGGTGCAAAACTAGAACTCATCACCAACATGGTGTGAGTGACATTCTAAAGAGTGGTAAGAATCTCTTACTGAGTATTTTGAAGTCCTTGAATGGCTTCGAGCAAAAGTAGTTGATCTGGAGCCATGGTCCTATCATAATCACCAGTAGAGCGATTTGACTCGTTTGATGTTAATAAATCCGAGCCCACCAATCTTGAATTTTTTAATTGGGCCTAATTAATTTAAATGGGCCTGACTTAACTCCTCCTACACATTTTGAATACCCTTATGAGTAAAATAAATTAGAGCATAAGATGTTTTATTGATGTATTATGATGCAGCATAGTGTAGTGTGGGAGAAAAAATCATACACGTAGCATTATTCTTTGCTAAGTCCACTCAGCTAAGTCATTTGGGTGGAGAATATCATGGGGCATCCCAACAATTGTGTATCTGGATGAGGATAATCACCTCCAAGTAAGGGGCATTATCGCACAACTAGCAGAGAAACAATCTCTTGGTAGTTATTTAATTCTCTAAGTGACACATCCATAAAAGGTCAATTTCATATTACAAAATCATAAATACAATAAATTAATTACTTTTATAGAAGTGGTTCTAACTTAGGTAGCAGAGTGTCCAGTCGACGTAGGCTAACTGAGACACTAACGGTGTTCTATTTTGTAGATTTACGGGTTTATGTTCGTACTTGAAGGTACAATGTGAATAAAAATAAGTGAAAAATAAATAAATAAATAAACAAATAAGGAGAAAAATAAAAAAAGGAAAAAATAAAAAGAAAAGAGGAAGGAAGGAAGGAAGGTAGGATCATGGGATCATGAAATGATAGGTGAGAAAAGGAAAAAGTAAGAGAGAAGCAAGAAAGTAAAAAAATGTACATATAAGACACTTTTTAAAAAATATATTTCAGCCATTATTTTGTAATTTGAACAGATTTGTACCATCTAAATATCCTAATAAGACAAACATATGTTAAAGATTCAAAAATCATCATACATCACTTCATTAATATCCTCAACAATAGTGTAGGTCCTATTTTTTCTCCATAGAATTTGGTGTCATATGTGGGAAACAATTATTAGTTCAATTGAGAAGCATGACTACTCCATTCTGTTCTAAACAAGGTTTATCCTAATCAATATTTGCATCCTATTGTTATCCATTACGTGGATGGACATGTTGTGTTCATGCATTGCTTTCAGCTTTGATATAAATCCAAAAATTTGCTAAGTCTGTTGAGGAACGTTAAGTATTTTGAGGCTGTAAAGGTAATAATAGTATCCCTATTTGTTGGGAGTTTCTATTTACACACACTAAACCCCTTTTATACACACACTTAATGAAAAAAGTGTGTAAAAAGTGTATATTGTATGTGTAAATAGAGGCTCCCCTATTTGTTCAATCATTATTCATTTGTTCCCTATTTGTTCAATCATTATCCATTTGTTCACGTATCATCCATTCATCCAAATATCATCTATTTGCTCAAGTGGCACTCATCTATTCATTCATTTGTTTGCGTGTCAATTTTCCGTTCACTTAATCTATCCATTTGTCCAAATCATCATCACCACCGCTGACTTTTTCAACGGTGTCCGACTACGATCCGACAGTGATGGTGTATGAGTGTATAACAATACAAGGGTGAAAATAAAAGGAAAAAAATTCTCCAAAATAATAATTTATCTTTTTTACCAAAACTTTTTCTTATTATATCCTTAACAACAGAGCAAATCAATTCTTGAAACTAATTCCATAGAAATCTATGAAGATAGACTTTTCACTAATTTTTTCTTTTGCTTTTTCCTGGGAGATGTTTTAATGTTAAACGATAAAAATGAAAGGAGAAAAGAAAGTACAAAACACCCATATGGTTTTGCATATTTTTTTTTTAAAAAAAATAATTAGTTTGGTAAAAAATTAAAAAGTAAAAACAGTCATAAAATTCATATGGCATTCTACTTTTGGGGGGCAAATAATTTCTTAAAATTTGTAAATATATTTTAGTGTTTGTTTTCGTCAAATTAATTTCTATTTAAAAAACAGAAAATAATTTTTGAGAAAATTAGAAACTAGTTCTGTGAAAATAAAAACAAAATATATATATAATCAAATTTTCAAATTTATTTTTGTCCCAAAAATAGAAAATTAAATAAAAATGATGAGTGCTTTTAATTTTTTTTACTAAATTAATTTAGTCTTTTTAAAAAAAAAATTTAAAAAAAAAGGATTTTAAGAACTCTATTAAATATAGTGAATAGTTTATCTTTAACCTCAATTCACAAAACCATTTAAAGTTTAGGAACCCTGAAAATTCACATAATCGGGTAAGGTTGTTGCTTGCATTCTTAAAGGTGACATATTGTAAGAAAGTCACAATTTTTTATGGTGAAAACTGTCCTTTTTTTTCTTTTTTTGTGACATTTGTTATGTCACTTTGTGATAAAAATTTATAATGTACATTTTAAAGTCATGAAATTTTTTTTATACCACTTTGTGGTAAATATTATATCTGGATGAGGATAATCACCTCCAAGTAAGGGGCATTATCGCACAACTGGCAGAGAAACAATCTCTTGGTAGTTATTTAATTCTCTAAGTGACACATCCATAAAAGGTTAATTTCATATTACAAAATCATAAATACAATAAATTAATTACTTTTATAGAAGTGGTTCTAACTTAGGTAGCAGAGTGTCCAGTCGACGTAGGCTAACTGAGACACTAACGGTGTTCTATTTTGTAGATTTACGGGATTTATGTATCTACTACTATTATTATTATTATTATTATTATTATTATTATTATTATTATATTACAAAAGTGTGAAGAGCCTGTCATATTTTTTATTTTTTTAAAATTTCAATTTTACTTTCTCAAATCTACTATA